TGGTTAAAATATGTCTGCAATTTCAGTTTTCTACATTTACCTTAGAATTAGCTTGTCAAGTTCCATTTGGAAAAATCTATCGGGCTGATGGAGAGATGGCTCAGGGGTTTAAGAGCACCTGCTGCTCTTGCCCAGAACAGAGCTTGATTCCCAGCACCCACAGGGCAGCCCTCCCGCTGTAATCCCAGTCCCAGGGGATCTGGTGACCTTTGCTGGCCTCTGTGGGCACTGCATGCACATGACAAAAATACATGCCGGTAAACACTCTTACACACATAAAAATAAAACTTTAAAAAAAATCTATTAATCTTTTATTATAACATGCTATATAGATTCAATATGGTTTGAAATGATAGCTTTATGTTGTTCTAATGCTGAAAATTGCCTCATATTTTAATTGTTGTGGCATCTGAGTTATTGCTACTCTGAATTATTATTTATTTGAATCCCATTCTTATTAATTTTCCAGAAACTTTATTGACTTTGCTAATATTTAATTGCCTCTTAAAATTAGTTTTTATTATGATAAATGTACATAAAACCAGCTTGACTATATCTATCACTTTGAAGTTTACACCCATAGTGCTTTTCCGTGGCATTAAGTGCACTCTCGTCCTGGTCCTGGTGCAGCCATCACCACTGTCAACCTCCTGTACTTCTTTATCTTTCTAGGTGCAACTCAACACATAGCAACTCTCCACTCTTCCCCCTTCTAACCCTTGGCAACTGTAACGTCCATTTATCATTCCTGATTCTAAGACCTGCAGTAAGAGGAATTCCACCTGTAAGAGGAGTCACACAGCATCTGTGCCTCTGTGACTGCCCTACTTCCAGTCAGAGGTGCAATTCCCTGGCAGTTTTCATTTGTGTTTCTCTAAAGTGTTAGTTGTTTCAAAGTATCAAATTTTGGCTTTATAATGTATCCTTTTGGTATACATGTTGTCTTTTTTGGCCTTGTTTTTTACTTCTTTGACTTTCCTTGGATATATTAGCTGCTTCTACTTCCGGCATTGGATACTGTTACTGAAGTAGCATGGACTTGGAACTGGAAGTCTGTGTGCAGCACACAGGAGGAGTATGGACAGACAGACAGCCTCACGGCTCTGGTTCTGCAGAGCCAGGGAGCTACAGGAATTCTTTTATACATGTTTATATGCAGCCTGTAGGCTGAGAACACCAAGATATGTTTTTCTCTGAGGTTACAGGTTTCTTTCAGACTTTGTTTTTTTGTTTTATTTTTTTCTGTGGTCAAAAATATCAGAAGGTTATGGTTGGGGATCCTTAGAGCACAGGGGAAGCTCTATATAGAATTATCTCATAACACAGAGGAAGTAGTCACTTCTGGTACCTCAGAGGTGAGTGGAGCCTTGATTTATGCTTAGCTCATAAACCAGGAAAAAAAAATGGTGACCATTCAGACTTTACCTTTTCCATGTGTTATGTTCTCCTTCAAACCCAGGTCATTTCGAGGTCTCAGTATAATTTTTCTCCTTGATTTATAAGCTGTTTAGACATACAGCTGTACTCCCTGTGGATTTCTTTCCATTATCAGCTGATGTGATACAGTATCATTTTAATTTCCCTAGCGAGTTACATTGATTTAAAGCTTATGTGTCAAATACTTTTTTTTTTATGATTTTTTAATTTCATGTATGTGAGTACAATGTCACTCTCTTCAGACACACCAGAAGAGGGCATCGGATCCCATTACAGATAGTTGTGAGCCACCATGTGGTTGCTGGGACTTGAACTCAGGCCTTTTAAAGAGGAGTCAGTGTTCTTACCAGCTGAGCCATCCCTCCAGCCTGTTAAACACTTGTGACATGTTCTCAAACAGAAAAAGCAGACTGTTTACGCTGTTTACTATCTTCTGCCAGCTAACATACTGTTCTGTTGCTGTTGAGTTTGTTTGTTTGGGGGATGGAATCCCTGTGTACTTCAGGCCGTCTGTGAACTTGTCATTTTTTCTGTCTCTGATGTCCAATTGTTAGATATGAGGTTGGGTGTCACCGTATCTGGCCAATATGATATTTTAATCCAGTAAATTACTTCTAAGAACCTTAAGTCTACAGTGTTTTCTATACAGAATGTGTGTCTACACCCACCCACATACATATTTATACATCAGCCTACTAATCCATTTGATTTCTTGGGTCTCTCATCTGGGGTCTTTTCCTTCTCTTCTACGAGTAGTATATTCTTCAGATTTTTCTCAGAGATTGGTCAGCAATAAAATTTCTCAATTTTTGTTATGTTTGAAATTTCTGTAACTAATTTTCTTTAGTGATAGTTTTCCTGCACAGGAAAAAAAAATCTTCTAGATCAGTGGTTCTCAACCTTCCTAACCCTGCGACCCTTTATACAGTTCCTCATGGTGTGGTGACCCCAATCATAAATTATTTTGTTGCTACTTCATAACTGTAATTTTGCTACTGTTCTGAGCTGTAATGTAAATAGATGCTGATATGCAGGATATATGATATGCAGGATGTATGATACACAGGATATATGATACGCAGGATGTATGATACACAGGATATATGATATGCAGGATGTATGATATGCAGGATATATGATATGCAGGAT